CTGTGAGACAAATGAATGGAGGTTTGCAAACGCACACACATGGGAATACACACCAGCCCACACGCACCCACGGACGCACACACACACGGCACCCTTCCTCCAAGATGCTGACGGGGCCCCTGGGGCTCCAGGGCTTGCAGCAGCCGCAGGCTTCTGGCTCAGAGAGCGGGGCGCAGGTGTGCAGACTGGCGGGGTCCCCAGAGAGCCGCCCGCTCATACTGAGACTCGCCAGCCCTCTCGGTATCACAGGGCACCCAGTGGGACTTCTCTTGGGGTGCTCCCTCTCGCCCTGGGCCGCCTTCCAAGGAAACAGTTACGTGTCCCAGACTGCGCACGCCCCTGTCGAGCCGGGGGCCCGCCACCTCCTGCCGAGCGGCCATTGCGAAAGCAACTGGCCACAGTGGTCAGCTCACTGCTTTCACAACCCCCAGCCCATCCGGCGTTTCTCTCCGCGGTTTTCAGCACCTTCTAATATGGTAAATAATCACTCGCTGACCGACAGGCCCCTCCGGTCTGTGACTGTTCTGACGTTCAGTTCACGAGAGCGGAGAGGGGGTTGTGGGGAAGTTGGGGGCTCATTGGTCCCAGGGTCTCATCCAGCTGTGTCTGGAAAGAAGTCAAGGAATCAGATTCAACATCAGTAGTTCCACACTCCCACAACTCTCTGTGTCTCCTCTTCTCCATTTTAGATGCATTTTTGGACAGTTAGCCCTCCAGGAAAGCCAATCCCAGAGTGCTCACTGTCAGCTCTCACTCTGTCAGGGACTGGGGAGCCCACAGTGAGTCAGTGAGACACCCCAGTCCTCCAGCCAGCACCCCCAGTGTGTCAGTGAGACACCCCACTCCTCCTGTCAGACTCACTGAGCCCCCAGTGTGTCCGTGAGGGAACAGGGTTGACTTGGTGACCCAATCTGATTGAAAATCCTGGACTGTGGCGAGAGCCGAGGGACGAGAGAGAGACACAGGCCTGACCTGCAGCACCTGAGAGAGTGACTGTTGTGTCTTTCTTTCAATTCAAAGCAGAAAGAGGGCAAAGTGTGTGATTAATGCTGGTACTTGCAAGTATTTTGTGATGGAAAAGGGATTGTTTGTATGTCCATCAGCTGACAGCCCCTGCCCCCCCCCCCCACTTCGCCCTGTCGCCTACCCCCCCGATGAGCCCCACCTCGGCACAGCTGCATTTTAGCTTCACTGAGCCCAGATTTTTTTCCAAGTACGAAAAACAGGAAGTGAGAAACTCAAACAGGAAATACTTATGAAGTATTATTAAGACCAGAGAAAAAATCGACTGGTGTGAGACGGAGGGAGAAAAAGAGTGCTGGTGAGCGAGAGGGACACAGAGAGACCGGCGCTGAGCGGCAGAGAGGCAGAAAGAGCGCTGTAACTCAGCCGCCATGCCAATAAAGTTCTTTTGAATTTGAATTTGAGAAGGACACTGACAAGGGGGGCAGGAACGGAGAGAGACTGAGAACAGAAGAGTGAGACAGAGAGGGAGAGTGAATGTGAGAGGGAGAGTGAGACAGAGTGTGAAGGTTAGAGGGTGAGACAGACTCACTGGAAGAGTAGAAGAGACAGGCAGGGAGAAGGAGGGAAGAGAGAGGAGAAAAGAAGAGAGAGAAAGCGAGAGAGAAGCCGATCGAGTGGTTTCATATTATTGGCCGTGGTTAAAGATCACAATTATCACTTCTTTCTGTGGTTTCAGAGAAGCCAGCAAGGCATCTGGGGAAGGGAAGCCGCACAGCTCGAGAAACAGCAGCCCCAGTAGTGTCTCCCCTCTACGTCACAGAGTGTGCGGTCCCATGACCTGAGCCCCACGAGCGCCACCCTCTGTCCCCCGAGACCAGGGCTCCGCCGGGACAGCAGCCCCACAGCCCGCGACGCGGCGGCCTGGGGGCAGAGAGGAGTATCATCACGCGCGGTTCGGCAGATGAGTCGCTCCTTCCTCCCAGCTCCCCCTCAGCTCTGCTCTCACCATGGAACTCAGTTCACTGACGTCAGCTTCCCTCTCCCCTCACCCCATCTCTCCTCTCTCCCTTATCTACTCTCTCCTTTCCCCTCTCCCCTCTCCTCTCTCCTCTCTCCCTGCCCCTCTGATTTTATACTGTTTATAATCCACTTTGTCTGCTTCACACCTGGAAGCACGAATGAAGTCATTGAGCCTTTGTTCATGGGGGAAGTCGACAGAGAAGGAGCAGCCTGCCTGAGGGACCGGGAGCCAGAGGATCTGAGCCCGGACCCCCAAACATTCTGACGCAGAACTTCTCTAGCCTGTCAGTCCACCCGGCCAGCTGCTGGACCCTCTGGGGGAGAGTGAGACCTGGTGCGGCCCGGACAGTCTGCCGGGCACTGGGTCAGCTTCCCAGAGCAGTACCTTCCCACACCCTGCCTCTTGCAGCGCCTCCTGCTGGAGAGGGAGCCCCAGCGCACTGCCACTCGGACAGGCAGGTAGGTGCAGAAGAGACTCCCCTCCCAGCAGTCTCTGCAGGTGTCTAAGGTGTTGTCCCCGTTCACACAAAGCAGGCAGGGCGCCCAGGGCTAAGAGGAGTATCTCCGGGACGGTCTCTTTCTTCCGCCTGTCCCCCTTCGGACCAGGCGGATTCCTCCCTCTGTCAGCACACAATCGGGCTCTTTCACAGGTGCGGAGGAAAGGAGGCCGAATGGAAACAGCGGGCAGGCAGTGAATGGGGCTGGGAAATGTGTCTGAGCCGCTTTCTCTGTGCTGGACAATAGAGCCGCAGGTAACCGGAGAGCCGGAATCTAGGCCAGGGCCTGTTCCAGCGATCCGGCTGAGCAGCGGGCTCAGCTCACACACGGGCTGCGGCCCAGCATCCAGCACGGTGACCCTGCGCGGGCACAGGAGCCCCTCGGCCCTCCCTGTGGGCCGGGGCGTCCGCACGGCTCCAGCACAGCGGCACTAACCTGATTACGGAGATTAGGATGCCAAAAACAGCACCGTTTTGTAAATGGGTACCTCAGTGTGAATGGTCTGGTTATTATACAGGAGCCATCTGCAGAGTCTAAAATCTCACACTAGATAATGTGCTCTGTGCTGTGGAATAGCCAAGGGACAACCTATTATGCTGTAGCCATTGTGAACTGTGCTGTGATATTTCCAAGGGATACAGTATTGTCCTATAC